GACCGGTACGGACCGTACGTACGTACGTACTACGTACTACTACTAGTAGGACGGTACGTACGTACTACTACTACTACACTACTACACACACACACACACACACACACACACACACACACACACACACACACACACACACACACACACACACACACACACACACACACACACACACCCCCACCCACACACACACACACGCGCGCGCGCGCGCGCGCGCGCACGCACACATACACACACACAGCGTCGACCGCACATTGACGATGCATGCAGATTTTGCAAAATATGAAAGCGGAGCCACGACGCAATATAACTATCCTGACGCTTTTTGCTTCTCAGCAAACACAGAGACGAGCACGCTGACGCTGAGAGGGTCTATGTCCCCCAGGGTACTGCCAGAACGTACCCTGGGGACATAGACCCTATATGAGCCACGCTGACTGTACCGGTAATTGTGTTGTCGAATTAGAAACTCGAAAACCTCGGCATTTATTTTACTAAGAAAACCGATAATATATGGCGAATGCCAGAGCGGCCCAGTTTTCTCGTCATGTTTTGGGGATTCACTGCGGGATACATATTCGATGCACTTATCTTTCGGGCGGATAAGCGTGCGTATTTCCATGATTTCCCATAGACTATGGCTGCCACTAATTGACGCGTTATGAAGAAAGCGTAAAGCGGTTCGCTGAGCGTTGAGGAGACATACTTGCTGACCCAACTGCATCTGCGTTTGTTCAGTAACGTACACAAATACGAATTAATATCACGGCTTTTACAGTGCAGCTCGTTGCTGCGAAAACATACGGCTCTCTGGTTTTTTTTCCTCTCCGCCGATACCACGCTACCGAACGAAGGAATAGCTGAGTACATGCAACTGATTGATTCGCAGTGTGTTCACATACTCGAACACAACGGCTGTAACGCGCACTCCTGCTTGCAGGCCGCGTAATATTCGTTAATACAGTGACCACCACCTCCTGGCTCTCGTTACAGTGACCACCACCTCCTGGTTCTCTGTTACAGTGACCACCACCTCCTGGTTCCCTGTTACAGTGACCACCACTTCCTGGTCCTCTGTTACAGTAACCACCACTTCCTGGTCTTCTGTTACAGTAACCAACACTACCATCACTCGGTTAATATAGGTCATGACAACCCACTGCCTGCTTCCCTCACACAGTGACTGGTTCTCTCACACGGTGACTGGATCTCTCACACAGTGACTGGTTCTTTTGCACTGTGACTGGTTTTCTCACACAGTGACTGATTCTTTTGCACTGTGACTGGTTTTCTCACACAGTGACTGGTTCTCTCACACGGTGGCCGCGGCTCTCTCACCACACAGTGACTGGTTCTCTCACACGGTGACTGGCTCTCTCAGACGGTGACTGGCTCTCTCACACGGTGACAACGACCTCCTGGTTCATCGCCTCGTACTGTGCCATCGCTAGGCGCTCGGTCTCCTTCAACTCTCTCGCCTTCTTGTTCTCGGCCATCGAGTAGATCGCGTAGACGATGAGACAGACGAACAGGATACTGAAGAAGATGCCGAACACGGTCAAGATGGCCGTGTTGTGTCGCGTGATGATGCTCGGCTTACGCGTCGTCGGCGGCGGCGCTGTCGTCGTCTTTGGTAAAGGCTTTGGGGTCGGCGGCGGAGGCGGTGTCGTCGTCGTCGTCGTCGTCGTCGTCGTCGTCGTTGTTGTTGTTGTCGTCGTCGTCGTCGTCGGCGTCGGTCGAGTCTCGAGCGTCAAGCAGTCGTATCGCTGCTTTCCGGTCGTCGTCGTCATGACGACGCATATGTAGTACGTCGTCTGCGGCGTCAGATTCGTGAAATTGTACGTCCGCGCCGTCTCGTTCGTCAACAGCGCCACCTGCAGCTCCTCGGAGTCGTTGGCGACCGTGTACGTCACCTGAAACGTCGACACGTCGTCGACATCGTCGGAAACGTTCCAGTTCAGCGACACGCCGCTGTCCGTTACCGCGCCGACGTCGACGGCGAAGTCGTTCGTCGGCGCGGCGACGTCGCCGACGTCGCAGTCGGGATGCAGCGGAATGTAGTCCCACGTGCAGTTGAGATCGGCTAGCTGAAGCTCGCTCAGCTGTCTGCCGGACACGGACGTCGGCTCGGCGCACTTGCCGTAGATGTTCGTGGCGACGGCAGCCGCGGGAACCCAATCCATGCGGCAGTCGCACACGAGTGGGTTGCCTGAAAACGTGATGCGGCTGCGATTAAAGTAGGGGTGAGGGTCAGGGATGGCGCGACACGGGGGTAGATCTCCGACGAGGGGAGAGGAGTTAAGGTCCTCGGCGGATGATGGGTGGCTGGACACACATTGGAGATAGTGGATAAAGGTGTATCTGTAACTAGAGGATTTGAATTTTAACCGAATTTTAATGATCAGAACGTTATCTTAGCACTTTTAGCAGAAAATCAATGCCACATCATATGACATATTATAATTTATCTTATGTACGCATTAAATGGCAATTGATCTTGCTAACTGTTTTCATAAATTACTGCGACTATCGCAGCACTACAAATTGCAATTTTAATATTTTTCATAAATTCTACAATGAGTCACTGATTATTTCCCAAAGGAGACTAAGCCGCCTGACGAGAAAATATACCACGCTACGTGTGTCTGTTATCGAGTATCTAATATCGAGTACACACCGACACACGAAGAGATACACAGACACACAGACACACGCAGAGATACACAGACACACAGACACACGCAGAGATACACGGACACACAGACACACGCAGAGATACACAGACACACAGACACACGCAGAGATACACAGACACACAGACACACGCAGAGATACACAGACACACAGACACACGCAGAGATACACAGACACACAGACACACAGACACACAGACACGCGCGCGCGCACGCACTCATATATATATATATCATAGACCTAAAGCAAAACACACAAAATATTAACGAAGTAATCGACGACGGAGTAAAGTTCTGTTCGAAAATAAACTCTCGGGCGGCTACGCATGCGCACGCCACGCATGCAGGTCACCTACCGTCGAGCTCGAGGCTTTGCGGCATCTCGTCGACGTCGGCGGGGAGCGCGTGCGCGCTGACGTGCCGCAGCAGGTTGTTGTTGAGCGTCACCTCCAGCAGACGCGTCGGCCCGCTCAGCCCGCCCCAGCAGACTGCCGCCAGGTCGGTGCTGTCCAGCTTGAGCCACTGCAGTGCGGCGAGCTCGGACAGCGCCCAGCCTGGCAGCAGGCGGATGTTGTCGTTGTAGCTGAGGTCGAGGAACTGCAGGCGCGCGAGCCGCCGCACGGCGTGGAACGCGTCCTCGCTCAGCCGGTTGACGCTCGCGACGAGGTACTCGAGCGTTGCCGCTAGGTGGCGCAGCGCGTCGGGCGCGATGCGCGTCAGTCGGTTGCGCTGCAGCTCAAGTCGCTTGAGCGTCGTCAGGCCGACAAAGGCGCCCGACGCGATCTCGACAATCGCGTTCTCCTTCAGATAGAGATTGACGAGCGATGGCGTGTCGGCGAACAGGCCCGCCGGCATGGCGGCGATTCGGTTCGTCTGCAGGTGCAGATTCCGTAGCTGCCGCAGGCCGCCGAACGTACCGTTGGGCACGTGCGTCAGCTCGCACTCTGTGAGAAACAGATGCTGCAGGCTGCGCAGGCCGGCGAACATGCCCGCGCGCAGCTGCAGCGCCGCGTTGTCGCCGAGGTGCAGGTAGACGAGACTCGGCACGTCGGCGAACGTGTCGGCGTGCAGCGCGCCGAGTCGGTTCTGGAATAGGTAGAGAAACTCGATGCTGTCGAGTCCGCGAAAGGCGCCCGGCTCGATGAGCGAGATGTTGTTGTCGGACAGCGTCAAGTAGTTGAGCTTGCGCTGATTCTTGAAGATGCCCGCTGGTATGCTCTCGAGCCTGTTCAGATGCACGTCCAAGTAGCGCAAATTGACCAGTTCGTCGAACGCGTCCGCAGGCAGCTGCGTAATGTTGTTCTGCCACAGGCGGAGATCGGTTAGCGACGTCAGGCCGCCGAACGACCGACTCGTGACGCTGGCGATCTCGTTCGCATACAGGTAGAGTGTCGTGAGGCTCGATAGCTGTCTGAAAGCGTCGTCGGGCACTCTGCCGATGCTGTTGCCGTACAGACGCACGTCGCGTATGTTGGCCATGTCGCGGAACCAGCCGGCGCGTATCGTCGGCAGCCGGTTGTTGTACATCGAGAGAAAGTCGAGTCGCCGCATGCCGACGAAGGCGTCGGCGTGGATGCGCGATATGTTGTTGTTGTAGAGACGCAGCTGCGTCAGCTCGGTCAATCCGGCGAGGTCGTCCTTGCGCACCTGCTCGATCCGGTTGTCGTGCAGATTGAGCACGGTGAGCATCCACAGCGGTCGGATCGCGGCACGTGGCACGGCGCGCAGCTGGTTGTCGCCAAGGTCAAGAAAGATGAGGCTGTCCTCGAGGCCCGCGAAGGCGAGCTGGTCGACGCGCTCCACACCCCCGTCGCGCAGGATCAGCTTGGAGAGGTTGAGTCCGCCGAAGGCCTGCCGCGGGATGGTCGCCATCTTGCTCGCGGACAGCGACAGCTGACCGATGCTTACGTTGACGGCTTTAATTCGCGGCAAGATGGCGGCCGCGTCGACGTTCCTGCAGGAGATGCTGACGGCGCCCGTACGGAAGCGGCGGCACTCGCACGGCGAGAGGGCGCCACCGACGCGCGAGCAGTCCGACGACGTCGCAGGAATGGCGAGCATCAGCAGCAGCAGCAGCCCGATCGTCTCTTCCATCGCCAACGTTCTGCAATCGAGCAAGCGACAATGATGCGAGAGCGCGTTATTAGGACGACTAACGGGAGAATAGCTGTTTATACGGGCGCGAGTGTTGCGAGCGTGGCACGGCGTGGCTTCATGTTATATCAATCCATTAGAAAAACACATCTCTTGCGGTGCATTTATGCATTTTAGCATGCACGCGGGCATTGGTGCGTGCATGCGCTCTTGCTTGTATATATATAAGTGTGAACGCGTGCGTTCGTACGTATGTATGCATATGTGAGTATGTGCGTGCGTGTGTGCGCTGTGTCGCATGTATATTCATGTGAGTGCGCGCATATGCACATTACGGATGTAGCCTGTCGGGAATGAAATCGTATTTCGATTCTCTACTTTGTGTCAGTCAATAGCAGGAGTAATTCCGTGCTTGCTACAACCCAGTTGACGTCAACACAAACAAAATTCCCGTCGTTCCTCTGACAAAGAACATATTTGGCCAAGCAGAGGCAAAGAGAAAACACGACAGTGAAAGAGAACGCCCGCGAGACAGGGAGAGAATGAGAAAGACCGGGCGAGAAAGAAATGAGAACGAATGAGATAACAAGGAATAGATAGAGCGTGTGAGAGAGAGAGGAGAGAGAAAGATAGAGGGGGAGCGAGAAAGAGGGAGAAAGGGAGAACTAGAAAGCGCTCACGAACCGGCATTGTTATCGTTCTTTCTGTTTAGTGGGAGAAAAACAGGTGTTCGCGCCGAGCTTTTTGCGAGTCGATCGATACACGCAACTCTTTTATTGATATTTCTTAATGCAAAAATACAAAACGAAATGTAAAACAGCGCGAGCGCGGAGTTTACGCGTCAAATGGCGAACAAAAACAAATACACAGATGCAATGGTTCGGCTGATATCGATATGCAATAAAGCTACGGAACCACACAGATGAGGGGGTATCCAAGCAGGAGCGGGTATCCAAGAACAGGCGCAGACGTCAGCTGCGCATTGAGACGGCCGATGGCGTAGCTGCATGCGTCGTTCCAGTTGAAAGGGGTGTTCTTCTTGGTTAGTGCCGTCAATGGTTTCGCAGTCGCCGCAAAATCTTGGATGAATCGCTGATAGTAGTTCGCAAAGCCCAGAAAACTGCGGATGTCTCCTAGGTTATGCGGTCTTACCCATTCCCGAACCGCCATCAGCTTCTCGGGATCATAATGTACGTCCGCAGCGGAAACAACATGGCCAAGATACGAGGCACTCCTACGGAATAGGGAGCCCTTAAAGGAATTGAGCTTTAAGCCGACCTCCTGTAAGCGATCGAGCACATGACGCAGGTGCCGCATAGCTTCCTCGAACGTGCGGCCGAATGCAATCACATCGTCGAGGTACACTAAACACTCCGTCTATTGCAGACCTCAGAGGACTAACTCCATCAACCGTTTAAACGTTGCAGGCAAATTGGCGAGCCCGAAGCGCATGACCTTGAAGACAAAGAGTCCTCGCCTGGAGGCAAAATCGGTTTTGGGTGCATCCGCTGGGTCCATCTCCACTTGCCAGTATCCGAAGGTAAGATCCAGCGTTGAGAACCAGCGAGCACCTGCGAAAGAGTCGAGGGTGTCATTGATCCGGGGCAGGGAATATGTATCCTTTCGAGTCACCTCATTCAGACGTCGGTAGTCGACACAGAATCGTGTTGTGACATCTTTCTTCGTCACTAGCACAACAGGGGATGCCCACGGACTGCTACTGGGCTGAATGATATCCGCATTTAGCATCTTCTTGATCTCTGCGTCCATAACATTTTGGCGAGCAAGGGGACACCGTCGTGTAGCTTGTTTGATGGGGGCGTGTGTCCCCGTATCAATCTCATGATGCACGAGGCCAGTCTGTCTTAGTTTCTCGCCAGGTGCTGTGAACAGGCTGCGATACCGGGACAGCCTTTCAGCTACCTCGTACCACTCGCCGCGACCCAACTCTGCGTCGACCCCATCGAGCAGGGGTCGCAAATGTGCAGGCAGCCCTGTCTACTCAAAATCCTTCCCGTTCGTGTGGCTCTCGCGGCAGATGTCAGAGCTAACTCTTGCCACCGGCTGTAGGCGTGCTAACTCCTCACCTGCGTTGATAATCACTGGGAATCTCCAACGTTAATCACCAAGAGGGGTACGTCTGTTCCCCGGGACCCGGTTCCACAGTCGTGGATTAACTTTAACCCTGAGTTAAGACTAACTCTGAGTTAAACTCACTAACTCTGAGTTAGTAAACTCCGAGTTAAATTTGGGTTTCATAAACATGGATTAAATCCTGAGTTAAGTAACTCAGAGTTAAATGTTTTAACTCAGAGTTAGTATCCCATAATTCCACGTAGTTAGAACAGATGAACACGATAGACGCATGATAGACGCATGATAGACGCATGATAGACGCATAGACGATAGACGCATGATAGACGCACGAACATTATAGAAGTACGGATGCCTGGATCAGCATCGGTACGCCATCAATGGCCGACCAATGTACACCAAACGTAAACAAACACCCATGTTCCAGCGGCA